TACTTCTCTCTGGATAACCAACTAGTGATATGTAAAAAGTAGACTATGGAGAGTTCATGTTTAAGTATTACTCTTACAAGTATTTCAAATTAACACAACTGAAAATGGTGTCCAAAAAAGTTTATACAAATGTATGCACTAACAAAAGGCTTCTACAGCCAAGGCAAACACTCAATCACAGTTTTGCAAGACTGAACAATACAAAATGGTCACATTTAGGTTTAACACTTGGATATTTTCCAATAGTCCTGGCTGATTTTACTACAGACTTAGCAGTTGTTGTCAAAACACTGCAGTTGGCTACAAAGCACAGATCAAAGAGGCTGCTTGAGCTTCCTTCTCCAGCCCCCTTTTGGTTTTGAGTCTGTTTTTTTTTTTCTTCTCTCCTCCCTTTTCAATTTTTAAAGTTAACAACCTTAGTGACATGGCCTGGATAGACTAAAGAATTCTGCTGATATACCATGTTTTGAAGAAAGGGATATTCTTTCCTCTTAAAATACCAAAGACCATTTACACGAGAGGAGAAAGAGTGACTAAGACCTTAATAAATAGGAATTGAAAGCTGGGTTGCTAAATCCATATTTAGCCAGCTATACAAGTTGACCTGACTTACAAATATGCCACGCATCCTTTATGTTTCTTTTATCAAACACCATTTGGGTTTCAAGAGTGTCCAAAACACTTGAAAATGAGGCCACTAATTCTAGAGCCTAAATATGATTCAAACAATCTAACATAGGGATCCTGTTTTGAAGATGTCAGTATCTTGCTCAGAAGTTCTTTGGTTCCAATTACTTGATAGTTCTGGTGGGCAAAATTGCTTGTAAGAACATCCAAACTAGGTAAGACCAGAGGTCCATCTATCCATTATACTGTTTTCAGCAGTTACTAGTATTAAGCGTTTAAGGAAAAACTAAGAGCATGGTACATACCAAGTGACACTTTTCTCATCATACTCTTCCAGTTCCCAGCAACATGTGACAGGACTAGTAAAGTTATTAACATATAGTGCTCGGCAAAAAATTTTTACTTGTGCTATCACTTGCTACAAACCTAGTACATCTAAAGTACATTCATTCAAACAGAAAAGAAGTAATCATATGTTATTTAATCTGCATGCTGGAAACAAAAAACTTTGAAGACTATTGTTTTAAAAAAAGTACTTTAACTCAATGCAAACACAGGCTTACAAGCCCCAGGTGAGTAAAATAAGTACCAGAACATTTGCTCTGAAGATGATATTTGCATAAAGATGATAAGCAGTTTCTAAAGCCAAAGAAACACAAGAAATTGCTGTGACTATGAAAGACGCTTGGTAATTATCAAGGATAAAATAAAAAAAATTTAAATAGAGGACATGCAATTAAACACTGTAAGAAAAGTCAAGGTTTCAAGCACAGACGCAGGTAGCACAAAAAGTTAAGAGTCTCTGTATTTGAAAGAATGTTTCTTCTTGGGGAATGAAAAAGAACAAGGAATTCAGAGCCTCCAGATTTTGCCAAAAGTAAATGAAACTGAGTTGTAGGTCAGTGGGAAGAGATTTTGAAACACTTTCAAATGTAGGCTTTCAAATGTAATCAGCAAAACAGGCCTGGGAACGAACTGATTTGAAGAACATGAACAACTAGGGAACACACAGATCTTATCCTTTATTTGAAGTCTTTCCTGAGATTTTTTCAGGTGAGTAACTAGCCGCTCACATGAGAGCATTTGCCACCAATGAAGTAACTCTGCTATTTAAATGTCAATGGAACTGACAAACCTTCATCATCAACAGCACCAAAACATGGTACTACTAATCTCCTGCTTTTAATGTCTTATCTGTCTGAGTACATGAATGTGTAGTGTAAGGTCACAGATCTCTTCCATGAACAATTAAATTAGGAGGTCTATAGTCTTTGCAGTCTGGCACATTTCTCTGCTCCTTTCCTTCCAATTCACTCCCTTCTGTTAGTGAGAGAACTTAAAATCAGATAATTAAGTCCTGTTAGGTGTTTATGAGACTCTCAGAATTCTGCAGAAAGCACTGAATCTCTGGCTTGTAAGCTATTCAAATTTGGTTCACAATGCTTTATTCCATTTAATTTATGTACAGTTGAACACATCACCAACACAGACATGCAGGCCAAGTTCTTCTTTTACAGGCATGAATCTGGAAGAAGCTATACTGAATCACTTGAACTAAAATAGTGTAAAATTAAGAGAGAGTGCAAAATTAAATACTCTAGCTTCAAAGATCTGCAGGAAGAAAAAGGGGATGATTGCAATTATTATACACAGTCAAGATCCCATTTCCATACAGTCATCCGTACCAAAAACCAGTATGAGATGTACAGAAAACACAAGTTAAAAGAATATACTTTCAACTAGAGGTTTTCTTATAAAGCATCTGTTAGGCTTCAAGAGAAATGCAGCTGATGTCCAGTAGTGGCTACTGGAATAGACAGCTAAAAATGCCTAATTAGGTCATGATATGCAAGAACTATCATCATTTCATATCAGTCTAAAATGTTGGAGAAACATCCCTCTTAAGTAAAGGGAAGTATTTTGGGATATAAAAAACACAGTAAGTATTGGCTAATGAGGAACAGACAAAGAAATGTGCCAAATGCTGTAAAGCCCTGATACTTCAGATAATGACTAAAATTTATGACTGCTTCCGTCCCTGGCAGACAATTAGGAATACAATTAGAATTCTCAAAACAACAGCCCCTTTGTGCTGGCATGCTGTGTTATGTTTATACTGCTACAGATAGACTAGAAGATTAAAAAATAAATATTACAGCACCCTTTTTAACCCGAGAATAGCTTTTTTTTTTTTTTTTTAATGTGGGTTCGGACATGGTTTTGCACATAGCTTATTCTTAACTGAAGTAATTTAGGTAATTATCAGTGCATGCACAGGAATTAACCATTTAAGTAACTTGCTATACACCTAGAACACTGTTTGAAAAATCACACAAAACAAGAACAAACGAGCTATTATAAGTCACTTAATAATTTCCTTTGCTGTCCAAATACAGCTTGACATTTAAACAGATTAAATTGTTCCTTTATTTCAATTTTGAAAAATTTCAATGTGCTTGGCTTTATGAACTGTTGAATGAAAAGCATCAGGAAGTATGCATGCCCTTTCTTTTGTCCTTTACTTAACACTGAATGATATGGATCACTTAGAACTGGAAGTGGTTAGAAGTATAGGGAAATGAAAGCATGTTTTTTTCTCATCTCCTTCACAAAGAAAGCACAATTACAATATTCTGAACAGCAACCTGGACTCAGATAACCACAGATGGTTTTGCAACAGAATACCCTCCAGGCATCTTTTCCCTATAAATTCTGGGAAAGGTACATGCAAGGGAAATCCTGACAGTTTCCCAAAGAGCAGCAGCATATAAACAACTGAATCTTGAAGATTTTTCCTACTGTGTGCCGTCATTTTGGCCTAGACATCTCTCTCCCCTTTCTCTTCCATTTTGTACTATTTGTGTGTCTTGACCTTCATGGTTCCACTAATCACTGCTCTTATTATACAGCTAAGTAAAATGGAAAGTTTCTTCCTCAATTACAGTGATTATCCATAAGGACCTGTGACAATCTTTCAGTACCGTGCCTTTGAAGTCAGAGAAAATTTCTAAGCAGCTCTACCAATTTCATATGGCTTAAAAAACACGGTACACAACATCACACTTACCTCCAAACCACTATGCAAAGAATCAGAGAACATAGTCTGTGGTAGGTGCCCAAACAGAATATAGTCTGAGGATATAGTCTGTGGTAGGTGCAACCAGGACTCATGTGAATTTCTTGATGCTTTCATTTAAGAGTTCACTAAGCAAAAAACTATAACTGAAAACTCAGTAACCAGTACAAGGTATCCACCAAAGCAATGAGGCTTATATGACAGAGGAAGGTCACTGAATGCGTAAGTTTTAAATGTTATAGATCTTCACAAAAACAAAACAAAGTAAACTTACACTAAAAACTATACAATATTATTATGTCAGCATAATTTTATACTTTTATCCCTATGGAGGACTGCAAGAGGAACGGTAGAAAAAAAAATCTGTGTAAATAAGAAACAAAACATGGTTTCTTATTTCCTTAATTATTCAATTTGTAAAAAGAAATAAAATTCTGGTTCATCTAAGCCCTTGGACTGGCACTTTTTGCAATTTCTTGAAGTTACTTCAGATTATCAAACCTGCTCTACAACTGCCCGAAGAGCTCCAAAATACAAAACCAACAGTCTGGGAATACACCATTCCTTTCAGTCCTCATCCTTCTAACAGAGCTTTGCCTTTAATTCTTCTCTAGGATATTTTGTCCATCAGCCTAAATGAATCCACTCTATTGTTAGCACTAGGCAAACATAAAAATAGGGTTTTATTCTCTGTTATTAATAAATGCTATCTTATTACCAACTTTAAAATATGTATATTTTTAAGAAAAATAAAAAGAAAACAGGGAATTTCAATTGCTAGGCATTGCCTTACAACTAATAAAGCTAAAATTCTACTGTCACTGCACAACTGGAAATTATATTGTAAAACCAAAAATATTTAATTAAGCTTTTTATTCTCCACAATTCCACGAAAACTTGATAATGTTATCCTTACAGTTTGCCTTACTCAGCTTCCAAAGACCAGTGTTTGACTAGAAACTTGTAAATCACATAAGGTTTATGAATAAATTAGCAGCATCAATTATTTAAATGAATAGAACCAAGTAGTGAACTTCAGTTTGGCAAATGAGGAAATTCAGACCCACATGTTTAATGGGCTTGTATTTTCCTTCTCTGAGCCATTAAAACTAAAATTAAAGATCATAGCACAAAGGATGCAAACATGGCTACCCACATGAAGCCAGAACTAAAGTTTTGTTTGGTTTATGAAAAATAGCACAGCAACTTTATATTGATAGCAATTTGACACTGTTAACTACATGATAAGAAGGAGGCTAACAAAACACAGGAGATAGACACTAAGAAGTTTCTTTACCTGGCCATCCCCAGGCTGGAAAAGTTGGAAGGAACTATCAAAACATCAAGCCTCGAAAAGGGGTGAGTACCCAGCGTGGTGTAAGCAGCTGAGAGGCACTGAGGAATTAACTGAAGCAAATGTTCTTTGCAGCGTTCCACAAGGCAGTAGGGAGCAAAGACTCTATAAGGAATGACTGCCTGCAACCTGGCAGCAGGATTTTGGAAACGGCAGGGATATTCCACATGACCACAGATTCCTTCATGCCACCTGACAATAACAAAGAAAAAAAAAAAAAGAGAAAAACTAGTTCAATATAATACCAGAAATGTCCACATGCTAAAGCAAGGATATTCTCTAGATATCAGAATGGCAGAGTTAGTTAGTGTAAAACCAACTCATTTGTATTCTCACAGTTCATACATGTGCAACACTGTGAAAACACTCATTATTATATGTCTGAGTAGAACCAATAAAGCACAACAAAAAATCTAATAAAACTTTTTTTATAAGATGTTTATCAAAAGAACAAGTGCTCAAAATGTACATAAAGAAAACTAAGTAACAATACAAAATACTTATTTATTCAGAGAATTCCTATTCAAACTTGACTACAAAAATAAAATTGTGTATATATTAACACACATGTATTAAGTGCAATTAAAATGAAATTCCAGACGGGCTTTTTTCTGTTGTTCTTACTAAAATTATCTAGGAATTTTTATAGATTTTTTTTTTCTTAAGTAGAAAACAACAGTAGATAGCAACTGAGGCTTATTCACCATAGACATTTGAAAATTCCACATTAGGATCAAGCTTATTTTAAATTACTTTTACAGGATACTCAGAGCTGTAACTGGAAGGATGAAGGGGTAAATCAAATCCTTTCTAAACACTGAGTCATATACTTTCACAATAATTTATCTGCCCAAATAGACTCATATGAAAGCAGAAATCAGCTTCATATTTTCACCTCATAGCCTGTCTTCCATACAGCGCAGAGCCTCTCCTTGGTTTGAACCTTCAACTTAAGGAAGCTGGTTTTACTCTGCCTGGACAGGCAGAGTGCTTACTGTTACTGCATCTGGTATCACCCAAAGCATTTATATTTGAAAGATCATGCTCCAGGTGAGTGCTGACACAGAAAACAAAATGATAACCCTAGAAAAGGCCTACATTTTGCTGGTGCCAACACTTCAACACCCTAAACTCTCTCTGTGAAAGAAGTAGACTCTAAGACATTTCATTGATTATGTATGCAAAGAAACTACATCCAGTATTATACAATTTTTTTCCAAGGGTGGTCTAACCTAGAATATTTGTGCTTTAAAACAATGTCAGTTTGTATTTAATCATCAGAGTTGAGATTAGGCAAGAACATGAAAGTTAGCATACTATCTCTTGTAGAAGTTGCCGATTGCTTAATGACCACAAGGAGATAGGAAAATTATTTAACACCCCCATTCCATTTAACATTTTCTTCGATACAGTCTCCTTATGTCAAACTCACTAGTACCTGGACATAAATTACATAACACATTTCAAGAACATCTTTTAGAAATCATTCTTTTTTCTCCTGCCCAGGAGTTTATCTCCATTATGTTACCTGAGATACTACCTAAACATTTGCTTCTCTAGGCATTTGCTGTAGTTTGAATCTGCCAGCAGCCAAACACCATGCAGCTGCTTGCTCACCCTCCCCCTGCCCAGGGGATGGGACAGGGAATTGGAGGGGTAAAGGGAGACTCATAGGCTGTGATAAAAATAGTTAAATAATTGTAATAAAATAAAAACAATAAAAATAGAAAGTACAAATGGGTAATGCACAATGATACCCAGCCCATTAATGCCTAGCGATTCCAAAAGAACCCAGAAAGAAAGAATCAGAATGCCAGAAGCAAAAGAGAACCCCCTCCTTCCTGGCCAACCCTCCTTGGTATACTGAGTATTATATTATATAATATGGAATATTTAATTGGCTAGTTTGGGTCCAGTGCTCTGGCTGCACCCTCTCATAGCTTCTTGTACACCTTCACATGGGCAGGACATGGGGAGTCAGACAGTCCTTGATCTCTTAGCGACAACGCAGCATTCTAGTTACTAAGAAGAAAAATTAACTCTATCTCAGTTGAAACCAGGACACCATTTCATACCCTTTCTAGAAATAACTTCTACTGTGCATAATGTTGGTTTGTTACCTAGTCTTAATGCCTAAAATAAATAATAAGTGTCTGTTGTGCTAACTCACAAATAAAGGTTAACTGGATATAACTGTAGGAACAGGTTTTTAAGAACAAAGATTTTTATGTTCTAATTAACTGCAAAACAACCTTGTACACTTAGGATCTCCTTTTTTGTTTATGCATAATAGACACCACACTTGCAGAGGATTTATTGAATTTTTTTGGTCCATCTTCTTCTGAAACATATTAGTTCTGTTTCTTCCACTGTCACTAACTCAACTGCTATAGATACATCACGAGACCTGTGCCAATTAACCCATCCGATGATCATCACACAGACTGACTCATAACAATGACCACCACATTGATTAAAACTTGCGCTAATCTTTGCTACAAAAAGCTACACAAATATTTCCCTTTTTTTCAGAAGGTGGTTTTTTTTAATGGAAACTATAATTTATTATATCAACACTGTCAGAATAATCTCTTGCATCAAATCAATAATAATTCCTATTACTAAATGTGCTGTACATGAGAGAGGAATATATAGTGAATATCTACAGGGTATTTCTGTAGAGGCAGTCAAATTATAAACATAAATAGTAGAGGAATAAACACAAAACAATTTCTAGAAGGTTATCAAACCTATAGAATATTTTAAAGATTGAATAGGCATGTCTTACCGATCTTAGGTAAAAACCAAAAATTCCTATTCTCAAGATTTAAAAGAATTTTTTAAAACTAAAATTAGTAAGGTTGCAAGCCATCAGAATTCTTTCATTTTAAATTCCAGAAGAAATCCCTATCAGGTCTCAAGTTCCAAAGTCTCACTATCTTTACCAAAATAGTAAGGACTTCCACTGTCTTAATGTTAACACAGTATTAGCTCAAAACAGCTATGTAAAAGGCAAATATTGTTTCGGCTAAGTTTTAAATTGCGTAAGAGAAAATATACTTAGAGCCTGACTAACCTGATCTCCTTCTACAACAAAACATTTTCTGTTGACATGGGGAGACCAGTGGATATTATTTGCCTGGATCTCAGCAAAACATTCATCACAGTTTCCCACAGTGTTCTCCTGGACAATCTGGCAAGATATGGACTGGACGGCTGGTTTGCAAGATGTGTAGGAAATTGACTCACAGATCACACTCAGAGAATGGTGATCAAAGGGTTCTTACTTAGGTTGGCAGCCTATCACAAGTCCCCCAGGGATCAATACTGGGCCCCACATGGTTCAACATCTTCATAAATGTCCTGGATATTAGGACTGGAAGCACCCTCACCAGGTTTGACAATGATACTAAACTGGGTAGTGAGGTGATCAGAAGGGACAGCCATCTTCCAGAGAGACCTGGACAGGCTGGAAGAGTGGGCTACCAAGAACAGGGTGAAGTTCTGCATAGACAAGTGCAAAGTCCTGCACCTGGAATAACATAACCAAAGAGCCCAGCCCAGGCTAGGATCTGTGTGTCTGGGGAGCAGCCTTGATGAAAGGGACACCCAGGATTCCTGGTGGACAACAAGCTGAATGTGAATCATCAATGCACCACTGCAGCAACAAAGGAAAATCAGATCCTGGGCTGTATCCTCAGGGGCACTGCTAGCAGAGATAGGGATGTGATCATCCTGCTCTGCTCAGCACTTGTCAGGCTGCACCTGGAGTACTGTGTCCAGTTGTGGTCCCGACTATTCAAGGAAGACATAAACAGATTGGAGACGGTCCAAAGGAGAGCCTCAAAAATAAACAGAGGGCTGGAGAACCTTTCCTGTGAGGGAAGGAAGTAGGCCTTTCTGGAGAGGGGAGAGAGGGGGAGGAGGAGGGGACACCTCATCGCAGTATTCCAGTACTTAAAGGATATCTATAAAGAGCACAGAGGCTCTCTCTTCACCAGAAGCCACATGGAGAAGACAAAGGGCAATGGGTGCTAGATAACCTCATCTAAGCTCCCCTCCAAAAAAAAGGACTGGACCAGATGATCTTTCAAGGTCCCGATCAACCTGCGCTGTTCCGTTATTCCATGATTATAGGAATTTGAAAAGCTGAGAGTAATATGTGAAGAAATCAAGTTACCATATGTGAGACTTCTACTAAGTGGAATACATGTGGAAACAAGTGATAAAGTCTCCAAAGACTTAATTTTTAGCTTAAAATCTCATTTGCAGGCCTATATAGTATTGTCCTGTTCATCCATCACTTTGTAATAATTTAAACTTGATGGGCAGATTTGACTAGATTGGAATATAAGTATCCAAAATAATTACATTTCTACAGGTTTGGTGAGACGGGTAAGTAGCTACTGCAAGTGCTAGACAATAGGGTATATTTTACTGAAAAGAATCATTGGTCCAACTTTATTTTATGGGATATCTGCAACAGGTCTTTCATGTACTCAGTCAGCACACAATCACTCCAGGCAAACCACTGCACAGATCAGCTCTAACTCTGGGATGTGACTGGACAGGAAGGAAAAAGCGAGTAGGCAATACCATAGTAGGGGGCATTAGGTTAGGTATCCAGAATGGACCAAGTCTAGCAACACGAAAGATCTTACAGCCAGGCATTGTAAGAAACAAAGGAGGACCTGGTACTAGTGAGTAGGGCATTTAAGAGGCACAAGATGTAGGATGCAAATCCAAAGGACATTGGGATTTATTAACCCTATTGCTCACTAAGCAGCATTTTTTCACAGAAAAAGACCACACCCTTACCCATGAAATAATGCCTTTGGAATTATTTTTCTGTCAAGATTTTTCTGACAAACTAAGTAAGTTCTATTTTTATTCCTGTATTAATATGACTCATTTTTACATTCCACAGAGTAAATGAAAATGATCCCCGTATATCTCATTTTTCAACAGTATTCTAAACAAACCTGAAATCAGCTTGTGAAGATGGCAAGGAAAACTCAATGTTTGTCTGTATAGCAGCTGCGAAGGACTGCTGTTTAACTTCTTGCCAGCACCCCACAGCAATAGTGAAGGTGGATGCTGGCATTGGCATAGTCACATAGTAGTACCAACTCAAGATACCTGTAAATGAAAAGAACATTTGTACAGACTCATCAGTCACAACACATATTCAGTACTCGACATTTTTATGCCCTTGAGAATTTGTGCCAATCCTCTCACCTTACATCCTGGTATTTTTGCTGAGGAAAGAAAAATAATTTCACTGAGACATGTAAGAGCAGTCACATGTCATCACTCTGGATTCAGTACTGTTTACTTACACCTGAAATGTTCCTCTATCTGCTGATGTCTTTTATCTGTTTATCTAAATAATGCATAAGTGGGATGCTATTAATGCAGTTTAACATGACTGTACTGTTACTGACCAAGAACTGCATTAGACATGAAATCTAATAGCACCTTTTAATATATAGACACAAAAATATTAAAATTTAACTCTTTCAAGATCAACCTGCATCAACCACCCTATGGTTTTGTCAACTGTATTATCTCACCAGACAGTGCCAAACTGATAGGCAAATTCTAACAAAAACCACCAGTGCTTGTGAACAGGAATTGGCAATGTGAGATACAAGATAAGCTAACCAGGCAGCGAGAAATCAAAGCTTAGAACTAGATGAGATATTGCCTAAATCACTGTTTTGGTCATGATAATTCAGGAGCTGCTAAAACTAGATTAGAGAGACTATTAGAAGGAAAAAAGATGGTAAGTCTTACCATTATGGGAACAGGGTGTTGGAAGACATGGAGTACAGTATAGGATGACTATATATATGAACATGGATAAACTGGAGGATGTTTTAGGGCAGCATACTTTTCATTAATTTAAATGCTGCTTAGGTTTTCTGTTTGTCCCTTTAAAAGGGTATAGTTTAAGAGTCACAAAGTAGTCATTTATGGCCACAAATAGAGTTATTACACAATACTTTAGGTTAATTACTCTTGGAAAGAGCCTACCATGAGTTACAACCTGCTGAATCATGTGCAAATAACTGTAGCTGTAGCAACTATGGAAACATACAAACTTCAATTATTTTAAGAAAACATTAATAGTTCTATAGCAATAGTATTCTGACCAGGGCTATGGAACACTATCAAAATGAAAAAAATAAACAATCCAGTGGAGGCCACAAGACATAAAGGAAAGAAAATAAACAACTGCAGCAAAGTATCTCTGGGTTTCCAATCTTAATGGCCACATAGGTCAGCTGCCAAAAGGATGGACTAGCAAAAAAATCAACAAATTTCCCACATCCTATTTAGAATTCTTTTGTTATACAATGACTATGACAAAAGAATACTGCTTGTGAAGTCCTGTAAGAGGCATACAAAGCCTCTGCCTCTTATATGTACTAGCAATCACAGCCCCTCACTCCATTCCACTTCTGGCAATATTCACCACTACCATCAAAAAGGCTGTTTATATCTTCTACTTGAAATAATAATAACATATTATGTAATTACTTCCTAGAATTTTAATGCATTTAGCTATCTTTGAAACCATTAAAATTATTTGAGTCCTATGGAGTCCATTATAACTGAAGAGAGCTGAGAGACAGTATGCTAATGCCAGATACCAGAACATTAGAAGTACTTTTACCTAGTATATATTCCCTCAGATAGTTTGTACTAACACAAATATAAACACCAGAAAATAAAGATGATGTCCATGATTTCCTAAAACTGACAAAACTCAGCTACCTCTAGGCCCCTGATATACAAATAACCGCTAGCGCTAATTCATAAAACTACCACTAAATAAGCAGTTATGTCAAAACTACTATTTCGCTGGAGCACCAGGTTTAAGAACCATCTACCTTTCTGAAACTCTTTGTAAATTGTAGAGATCTTTGATCTCATCTGAAACCCAGAGAACACACATTCATGCCATAGCATTAGTTCAACACTGTCTCAGAGGGATGAGTAGCATGTGATGAGCTGTCAACTCTCATGTTGTAATTCCTGATATATGTTGGAGATCAATCAACACAACTACTGGACTCTTTTGTTTTGCCTTGTGAAAAGTGAGAGAAGCACAAACAAAAGCAACTGCTATTGTTGCTAGCTCCAGAGCAGTAGGAGTGGCTTCTCTAGCACTGTATTTCCTCTCAATAACAGAATATACCTTCTCACTGGAATCAGAGATGTCAAAACAAGATCAAGGACTACATAATGGCTATTACATTATGTATATTGTATATTACATATTGTCTATTATATATTGTATATAATATTATATATTGTATATGTATATTATATATTGTGTATATATAATGGCTATTACATTATGTATATATAGAAACTACTACATTCTTGGCTCAGGTGACCAAGAAAGCCAATGGCATCCTGGCTTGTATTAGAAATAGTGTGAGCAGCAGAAGTAGGGAGGTGACAGTCCCCCTGTGCTCTGCACTGGTGAGGCCACACCTGGAGTGTTGTGTCCAGTTTTAGACACCTCAATAGGAGAGAGATATTGAGGTGGTGGAACGAGTGCAGAGGAGGGCAAGAAAGTTGGTGAAGGGCCTGGAGAATAAATCCTATGAGGAGCGATTGAAGGAGCTGGCATTGTTTAGTTTGAGGAGAAGGCTGAGGGGAGACCTCATCACTCTCTACAGCTACCTGAAAGAACATTGTAGAGAGGTTGGTGCTGGTCTCTTCTCACAGGTGATTAGTGACAGAACAAGAGTGAATTGCTTTAAACTGCAACAGGGGAGGTTCAGACTGAACATTAGGAAAAAATTTTTCACAGGAAGAGTGGTCAGACAGTAGAAGAGGCTGCCCAGGGAGGTGGTGGAGTCCCCATCCCTGATGTGTTTAGGGGTCGTTTAGATGAGATGTTGGGGGATATGGTGTAGGGGAGACCTTTGTAGAGTAGGGCTGATGGTTGGACTCGATGATCCCAAGGGTGTTTTCCAACCTGAATGATTCTGTGATTCTGCGTGATTCTGTGATAACGGGAGAGTAACCACACAAAAAGCAAGCTAGTCCATTTCACACTTCAATTGACTACTTGGTTGAATATCTACTTCTTGAACATGAATCAAAACGAACGTAAAGGTACTTGTGACTAAATATATTTGCACCTTCCATGTGTTACAGTAATGTGCTGAAGGAAAGGAAAACTGCGAAGTGTTGAAAAATAAATCCAATAGTTAAATGGCTCACATTACACACACACAGAGTTCTCCCTGTAAACACACAGAGTTCTCCCAAAGGGCATCGTCAATTGCATTTTTCTGACAAATTTTTCTTCTCTAAGTACTCCATAAAGAATGCATGTTATTTTCAAGCACTTTTAGGTCATACTTGAATAGTTACCATTTGTACTAATTGTACACTATTACCAAAACCTGTAAATAAAAGTGGCAAATGAGGAATCTGTGCATGACAGTATACCTAGTCTAGCTATGCACTGGATCACAGCATCTGTGCATCTAGAGATACAGATCTGTGAAGCAGAATGCAGATATCTGTTCTGTCTCTGTCGTCTGCTTGCACGCTTGTTATAAATATGACTTTTAAAGGAAAAAATACTCATCTAACTTGTAATTCTATTCAGAATAAATTCATTCACAACTGCTTGCCAGAATGCTTATTCTTTCCAAGAAATAGCATTTTTAAAAAATGTATTTTTCTGTTCTGCCAGTCATGTATGATTTTTTTTGTATGGTTTTTATAAATATGCAGCACAAAAATATCATACTCTATGTAAACGATTTGGCAGAAAAAAAGTTATTTTAATTGCAGTCACTCTGAAAGGCTTTTAGGTGTGTTTTACAAATGCAAAGACAAAATTTTAAGTTGGATAGATTTTTTTTATTCTCTGCATAACTGTCTAACAACAAGATCTATGTGGGACAGGTTATTTATTCTGAACTTTTTAACTCTTAAAAGTCCTACTAATTAAACTAATGAATTTTATTTTATTCCTAAATTCATTAAGAATTTATTCAAGGCTTCAGATTAGCCTTGGGTTGGTTTGTTTTTCAAAACATTCCTCACAATATTGCTCCTTTTGCTTCTTTCCTCGGTATCTGTTTTGTAAATTTTACAATTCCAAACAGCTCTCTAACACTGATTTGTCATTTCCAACTGTATATAAGCATCAAGACAGTAAGGGTCTCATCCATGATTGAGAATTCAAGAGCTACTGGAGCACAATGTCTTCTACCTCTAAAGAAACCCAGCAATCCTTGCATCATGACACCAACATTAGCATAAATAGTTGTGTGTGCCACATGGATATGTAAGCAAAACCTTCCACACTCTTGGGAATTCCATCTCGAAGAGATGTGGAAGGAAAACTGTATGTACAGAAGTGCAGTAAGTGCTCCTGCTGCTTCTCTTCAGTAAAGTTCAGAATAAAAGTTTGCCATTATCACATGGCTCCTAAAGGAGCCAGATTTACTGCTGCATTTGGTTTTTCCCAGTTCACACTCTTCACTCAGCATTTTATTAGCACAGGAGAGCTAAAATGAGTAATTTCTTCCCTACTGGCCTTTCCATTAAAGACTTCTTACAATATTTCTTGCTTTCACAGAGTTCTTGGGAAAGGAAATATACTAAGTTAGCCATTGGACAATTAAAAAAATGTAAAAAAAAAAAAAAAGCTTTAATCTGACACACGAATTACCAAAACAAACTGACCCACTGCAATAACTACAAGGATCTATACAAAAGCCTCTTCTTCTAGACACCCTTGACAAGGCTGTCTTTGGGTGTCGAAGCCCCAGTGCTATCATTAAAATACAGTACACTGATACAATTCTCAACACTCCATCAAGAGTATTTTTAAAATGGTTTTCCTCAAAACTAATTTTTTCTTTATTCAAGTATAAATGTTAATGGATTTTTTTAAACTAAATGACAAACAGTGTAAATGAGGAAATAATTCTTTCACAACACAGCCTTTTAAAGGAGCTACTTGGTCTAAGAGAGTATCAGTTTTAACTGACTTATGACATAGAAATTCACACAAGCATTCTTCTTCCTCTTAGTATTTCAGACCACATAGTCACCACTGAGAGACAGACAAGCAACAGCTCATCAACAAGGCATAA